GTGAAATGAATCCACTTAGTTGCAAAATATCACGGATAAACGTGGATAGGATTAATTTGCCAATTTGCTCGTATCTAACAAAATATCAGGAGATAATAAGAATAACATAAATCCTGTAAGTGAATGCCTGGAAAAATGGGGCCGGGCAAAACCCATGGATGAATGTTAGGAAAAGCATTTCGGTAGCTGTTGAAAAGCTGTGTTGCTGTCACATGTTGAAACGCTAGTAAAATAATGCAATGGTAGTAGTGTGTGTTGAGAGGGCAGCATAATCGTTGTTGCTGTGTATATATGTACAGTAAAACCTTGGATTGCGAGTAACTTGGTCTGCGAGTGTTTTGCAAGGCGAGCAAAAATTTTAAATAAATGTTAATTTGATAAACGAGCGAGGATCTTGCAATACGAGTAGTGTACGTATACGCTTTGTCTGCCGAGCGTCACGTGATCACAACTGATATACGAGTGCTTTGGATTACAAACACGTTTCCGGAACCAATTATGCTCACAATCCAAGGTTTTACTGTATGTTGAACTCTTTTCACAACATATGTAGCCAACCGTGCTAATTAGAGGCGCATGGGAAAGGACAAACTAACACAAAAAGCAGTTCTAAAGAAATGAGTTTTGAATCTAGATTTAAAAGTGCATACATAGCTCCAGTGGCTTCTTAACATCGGAAGGAAGAATGTTCCAGACGGCCGCAGATGCACATCTGAAAAGCACGCAATGCAGTGACCGTCTCTGTTCGGTAGCCAGCTATCGCTGCTTGTAATGTGCTGCCTGTGCGATGCGTGCAGCCGGTATGCCTGCCCACTGCGGCTCGGACGCACACTGCAGGCTCTTTCCTCTCTATTGCGTGCAGGGGAGGTGACAGGGTGGGTGACATTCTGCATATAAGTGTACGACACTCGGTCTGGCGGACTCCGTGCAACTGCATCGTCAGAGTGTGTCGCCAACCGATGGCGTCTAGTTCAACAGCCTGAACGACTCTCTAATCATTCTTGAAATTAAAATTGGTTGAATGTCACCCCGGCCTGAAATCCTGGCTCCGCCCCTGATTGCGTGTATGCTGCCCTGTGTATTAGGCCTTGGTCACCCTTAATCTCCCTTCACGATAAAGGGGGGTTTAAGGGTGACCTTAATCCAAAGTTATTGACTGATATCTCCGCTGATAACATCTCTGCCCCCCCTCTACCCCCTTACTTGTGTGCCTGCTTTCAAATGCATTGTGCAAGCATGCAGCCAGTTTCCAGCGTAGATGTATGGCAATTCATTAATGTCTGTATTAATTAACTAAGACTGATGAAAACATGCATTAATGGAAGTATGAAAATATGGATGGACATATAAATGAATGAATGGATGAATACATCATTGCATGAATAAATGCAGAGTTACTAGGGAGTGCACATAATGCAGGGATGACGTTTGCCACAATGTGACTGAAGGCATGCAAACAGGGCATGTGCTTTTTAAAAAAACACAGCATGTGCGACGTCTGTGTAATGTGAATGGTGCGCAGGTGCATTCATGCGAGTGCACACAACACACAGTACAGGTAAATAAGTATACACATTTGTCGATCAATTCCTATTATCCTTGAATATAATGGAGATAACCCGATTTGAACTCGCCTATACATGAACACTGTGACGGATCACCACAGACTATAGGATGGATATAACTCCACTTATCCAAGAACAAACTGCGAAAAGAAAGCAATTATCCAATCCAGGATGAGGGAAAAATCAGATAATGGCAGATTATAGGAAAAACAAGGTGCAGATAAAGAAGATTTTTCATACTTTTGGTGCCGTGGATAATATAAGTTTCGGGTAATACAGTCGTAGAAAGAGGAGATTTATTGTATATCAGAGCTTGTTGATGTAAGGAGTAGGGTTGAGCAGTAACACGGTTGTTAGCGCAGTTTTACACTGAAGTGTGTGAAGTATGGCCAAACAACCTCCATGCCCAAAACAGTTTGTGGAGGGCCCTCATCAATCACAAAGGACTGCAAATTGAAACTAAAATGATGCATGCTCTCACAAAATGATGCATGCTCTCACAATGACATGGATATACTTTTAGGTTTTCATACAATTAGTTGGTGTGGCATCTTATACATGTGCTTGTCATATTAACTTTGCAGTGAGTGCAGACTTTTATGTCTTGAATACTAGGAAAGCTACACTATCATCAGATCATTTTCATTAAAGGATTGCAGATGATTTGTGAAACGTCTTTGTTCATCCCAAATTATCGTTTAGAGCAAATAAAACCGTTTAAAGAGACTCAGAGTAGATTTATTCAATGCACGTGCTATAAAAGGAGCCATTTGAACCCTCACCTCTTTAGGGAATGGGGTGGGGGGAGAACTTTCTGAAATAAATAAATATATGAGACACAAACACGTTTTTGTGCTACCACGATTTTCTTCTCCAAATATTTTCTTTCCACCGGACGTCAATTTGCCGTCATTAATTTCGCACAACGTCCTTTAATCTTGCACTATTCATGAACTGGAACAGGTACTTTTCTGCCAAAATATTACTTTCGTGCAAAACAAAAAGCCCCTTGATCCAATTTGTGCTTAATTGAATTCAAAGCTAAAAATAATAAACTAAATTTCTAAAAAGCCACATGCAGAAGTTAAACATAATAGAATGATTTACTTTTTTACCAATGCAGCTGATAATAGATTATATAGACATACACACGACGAATTAAATAAAATGGTAAAAAAAAAATATTCAGTACTCTAAAACATGTATTTGCGCTTTTAAGGAGGTAAATTGTTTAACGCTAAATTTGTTTCTTCGATTAGAATGTACACATTGACCCAATTAAAATAATACATTTATAGACGTGATAACATCAGAAACAAGGTTTGTACATACACGCATACTGCACACATGCCAAAAGCCCTTCTGGAACATTAAGCAATGGTGCAGTAAAGGAAAAACAGTGCCCAACACATTTAAAAGAACAGCACCCCCACTGCTTTAACGTGCAGAGGAAACGCTATAGTTTAATAACACTCCCACCATATATTGGTGAAGCGGTTCAATTCATAGCACCCATCAGGATGTTCTATTTAAAAAAAAAACGTTAGAATTGGAATAAGCCATTTTAAAACCTAAAGGTAGAATCTAAGTAATACTTTAAAGAAATGCACAGGCAGGAGGTTGCATTGCAACTAGTAGCACATGGGACATGCGTGCAATACAAACCAATGATCATGAGTAACTTTTCAATGTGCGCTGCTAACCCAAACATCTGTGCAGAAACGTTACTCAATATGGCATCATTAAGTGCATTGCAATGTACTTCTTAAACTTGCAAAACATTTTGCCGTGAACCTGCTTTAATGGACGACTTGTCAATGCCCTCTCAATGTGGATAATTAACTTCTAAGTGTGGCTAAATGAAACATTTCATACCAGTTACTTTATCTTGATCAGGGGCTCAATTGGGCCTGTTTGGTACGGTGCCATTTCCCACGTGGCCAAAATGTCTGTAATTGATAACAGATTTATTTTTTAAACTTAGCAGAAAAAAATCTGAGTTATTCTTTTTTACTAATGATAGGGTATGACCACAAGCTAGAATCATTGTCTGATGTCACTAGAGCTCACACTTGCTTGAGTGTTTGAACCAACGATGTCAAAGTAAAATTTTCTCATAAACAAAGATTCTAGCCTATGTTGGATAGCCTGGGACACTCAGCCTAGCTAGGTATGTATCTACAAGGCAGAGCTAGTTGTTTTACTTCCTTAAATGTGGTTTGAGTCAATAGCGACAATGTGTTTTTTATTTATATATGTAGGGGAAACCTGCGAAAAATGTGAAAGGTAAACATAAGGATCCCACAATCCATTTCCCTCCCACACATACGCGTCTCTCATCACCCCACCCCCATAATGATTATCTTCTCAGGTGTTCCCTCCTTTGGTTACCATTGCTTTACCAACCTTGCCCATAAGCAATCTCTTCTATTGAGGCATCCTGGCCAAGCCCAAGTACGCCTATTTAGTCATGGCATCTCTGTGTATATTCTCTGATCCACGTGTTAATTTTTCTATCTCTCAGGGTAATTCCCATCATGCACCTCTCTATACTAATTTCTAAGCTCTCCCCAAGCCTGACTCTGCTGAATGAGACCAAGAAAGTCAAAACTGGTCAGGAGTTCTCGTTCTTAAAAAAATGGCGCTATATAATAATCACTTGGAAATCCAATAAGCGGATGTAGAGATGAACATCTGCTTAATTATCACCTAACATAAAATACCTTTGCGTGTTTTTCCACAATTGTATTCCAATAGTGCCGTCGGCATTGATATAAAAAAAATCCACTCAAAACCTTTGCAGTGTATCAGCGCTCAGTAGAGAACAGTCCGTTGAAGCAGAGATCACAGAACTGCCTCTGAAATCTAAGTGACCTCTTGGTATCACGAGGGGGCAGCACTTTCCCACCCACCCTGCATTTATTGGTGACCAGGCAAAGACTGTCAAATCACTACACTTGAGAACCTGTTTTTAATTACAGACAACTGCCCGGATTCCAACGCACTGTCTCAACGGTGTCAGCTCAGCACTCTGACCTCTGAGCCAACCGGACACTTTTCAGGAAATAATTAAATACAACACACAAGGATAATTATGACCCCTGTAAACATACCCATGACAAAGATTCACAATGTGTGTATTACTCAGCCCATCATCCTTCCAGGCATGATAAAAATGAGGGATGTTAACAGTGTTTGTATGTATGTATGTTGAACTTCTTTTGCACCGTACGTAGCCAACCGTGCTAATTTGAGGTGCGAAACAGCGGTTGTCCTATGAACTGTGGAATTTCCACCACAGGGCTGTAAACAGGAAATGAGCACCGCCTTCTTAATGCTCATTTGAACAGGAAATCATCAGCTTGCCTTTTATTTTTTTTTGTAACCACACTCGCAGCAATTACTGGGAGTTACAGACGAGGTGTCGGATCTCACCTGCAGGGCGGTGAGGATATTCGCGAGTGCCTGCCCATAGGTGTCATGGCAGTGCACTGCCAGTGCGCTTATTGGCACCTCGTGGCTCACGGCGCGCAACATTTCGCGCATGTTGCCCGGTGTACCCACACCGATCGTGTCCCCCAGAGAGATCTCGTAGCAGCCCATCCCGTACAGGCACTTGGCCACCTGAGCGGGGGAAGGACGGCATTTGACCATTACGACTCTTGTGCTGCACGTGGATTGCTTGACAGCAATTAGCTCAACAATATTGCAGGACACTGGTGGTTGTGAAGGCAGCATCAGTGACTCAACTCACCTCCGCTACTTTGGCTGGATTTATTTTTCCTTCATAAGGACAGCCTACAACACAGGACACATACCTAAAGGCAAAACACAAGAACACACCATCATTGTCAATGTTTGAAATGTTCACAAATTGGTTAAAAACTATTGAAAAAAAAATAGTCGATCATGTGTACAGACTATACTGCACAAAATTTCTTAAAGTAAATAATTTCACATCACTTATCAGCTACTGGATCTTCCAGAATATAAAAATGTCCAGCATTTATATTAAGCAAGAAAACGTTGTACTGGTTTAAATAAAAACGTCTCATTGCTATAGTACTGGGTACCCTGATGTGTGCAGAAAGCACACAATATGGAACCATTCGGTGAAACTACAGCAGTGTGGAAAATGCTACTGCACAGCTACTGGGCCATTATTAGTCACATTTTTTTTCCCATGAAAAGATATCAAAAAGCAGAGCCCCGTCAATTAAATCTGTGTACAGTAGGATGGCATGAACTTACAAACCGTGCCTTCAACAAGGCATCCCTGCTCTACTACGTCATCAATAAGAACCACTTCTCCTGCTGCCTAAATGAGGCTCAATGCCATCTCAGCTGCGGTCTGTACCCTCGGACGGGGATGTTGGCATCCTGTGCCGCACGTGCAACCTCCTCGAAGCGTTGCAGGCTCTCGGCGATGGAGCAGTTGATGTTCTTCTGGCTGAAGGACTCTGAAGCTGCCCCGAATATGGCCACCTCGGTGGCCCCAGCCTTCACCTGTGAACACCAAAGGGTCTTATATCCATGCATGCCACCCCTCATGTTTATTGATTATTGTGCATCTTGTTAATTTCCAGATTTATTTAATTAAAAAAAAGATAAAAGGCACAGCGCTGCAATTGCTTGCTCATTTCACTCCACTTGAACTTTGGAGAGCCCTGTCTGGAGGATAATTTGACCTATTCTTTCATGCTGGCCAAGTCTTGGAAAAGGTGGGAATACATTACTAGATGTGACCTGCTGATCAACTAATTTATGAATGTAATTGAAATACATTTCACGTATAATTTGTTCACTGTCACACGATTGGAAATAAACTGTAACATCACCTTCAAGACCCGACTGAATTTTGAAGTGTTGTTATCGAATAATAACAATGTATTTGCGTTATAGTAAAGCATGTTATATGTAGTTTCCAAATTTAGATAATCAACTTTTGTTATTACTTTCCCTGAAATGCTTCCATTATAACACAATATTCATCCAGGCTGTGAATTAATTTCAACAATATATCTTTTTTATATTACTATCCAAACCAAGAAACATATAAATACGACTATCATTTCATTTTAAATTGTGGATACATTTAATATTCAGCACATATTAACAATAAACATAAACCGTAATTTTAACAAAAAATGTTTCCAATCATGGCAAATGTAAACATGTATTAAATACTGTTTTAAAATGAAATTAAATGAGGGAGGTACTTTTTCAGAATCCTATGGGATGGTGTTTTTCAACATTTTAGGCACTAATGCCACAGCGATGGGGGTTTGAGAATCGAATGTCAATCGTATAAAACATGCTGTTATGTGAGACTGGTGGCATTAAACAATGTTACTTTACACAATACCGCCATAGAACATGTGAAATGTCACCTGCACCATTAATTCCACTGATTGAAATATGTTAATAGAGGGAGGTGAACTCACGGCAGCCTGAAATCCCTTAAGGTTGGGGGTGAGAACTGGGTAGCTCACTCCGGGCAGCTTCCGAATGCCGGCCATTACTTCTACCTGATCGGCCATCTGTCAAGACACAGTGCAATTAAAACACTCTCTTCATTATTATTGTTCACTTTTATTTCACTAAGTCTCATGATTCTTTCTAGGTTTTCTCATTAGGGGGTGTTACGAATTGTAATCCCAATTGAGTAATCTGCAAGTATTTTTTGCTATGTCGCCATGTTTGCCCATTATCAGTTACATTGCATGGATTTGTTGTTTGAGCTACGGGAGAATTCCAGAGAAACCAAAGGAAACCAATAAAGAACAGGGACAGAATATACAAACTCCCACAGAAAGGCAACCGAGTTAGGAGATGAACCCAGGCACGTCTTGCTGAAAGGCATAAGTGTTACCACTATGCCACACTGCCACCCAATTTTTTGGAAATCTATTCTAGTGGACCCCCCTAGAAGTGGGGGTAAAAAGTTTGATCCAACAGGTTTTAAGAAATTGCCGCCCCCCCCCCCCTAAAAAAAAAGTTGTTTCACTCCCCCCCCCCACCCCAAAGAAAGTGTAGGCATACATGCCTACACACCCTACATACAATCATCAGTAGCATCTGCACACATTGGTGGCGGGGGGGGGGGGGACATCAGTGAGGGCGACGGGCGAATTATAGTTACATGCAAATCAGCCACACTCCCATGGTGAGGGCATTTGTCAAATAACCTTAAGCCACAGGCCCCAAAGTTACTTATATTCACTCACATGTGTCGTGGTATTGTTGCACACAGCTAATGTCAGTGACAAATGGTGTCTGAATCGATCCAATCATTCTGACCAGCATGGTCAAAAACATATCATCCAGCAGTGGATTCAAAACATTGTTTTATTTATGTGAATATGTGTATTTAGCCCTGTTTAACACGTAGGCTTTCGAAAGATAATGTTGACGTTCTGTGCAAAACTAGCTACTACTACATTAGACCTCCTTTGCCAGTACCAAAATATAATAGGGTTTTCCCCTTTTTTCAGGCAACAAAACTGAAATATTTTTAAATGGAATCATGTGTGCATTAACCACAATACTTGTGGTCAAAATGCAAACAAAAAACACACTATGATAATATTAGCATTGTCCTTGAAACTGATTGGTCCACACCAGAGGCGGCTTTCTTTTGAGCCTCGTCTCAATTGGTGCTAGACCAGAGGACGCCAAAAGGCGTACAGCTCAAAGACAATGCACTAACAAAGTAATGAGGGCTCGGGGTATCTACATCATTAGACCTCTTTGTCAGTACCAAAATATAACAATGGGGTTTTTCCCCTTTTTTCTGGCAACAAAACTGATTAAATTATTATAAAAGTGCCTTAACATGGGGTAAGTTAGCTTTCCAAAATTAATAACACTGATAAGCCATCCCGTTACTGCATGGGGTTAGACTCTTAGATTTTCTTTCTCCACTTGCATCCTCTCTACTTACATCCAGTGTCCTCACATCTTGTTCCAACGCATCATTCCGTCTCCACCTCAGTCTCCCAATATTCCTTCTGCCCAGCACAAGCATGTCCACAGCCTGTCTCTTCTCAGCACATGCCCAAACCATCTCAATGTAGCCTTCCTTACCCCTCTCAAGAATACAAGTAATCCCTGCCGAGACTCTAACTTCTTCATTCTGCCTCCTTTTCGTTTCGATATATTCCCAACATCCCTCCTGGCATTCTCATCTGTTACTTTCAACTCTTTTTCTTCTTACTTCCTAAGTGCTCCAAAATGAATAAAATATATATTGATAAAATGCAATGTGAATAGAAGGACTGCGAAAGAATATGGTCATTAATCATTAATCCCAGTGCCATTGGGACCGTGTTTCTACAGACCTGCGGAACCCATTTAGGAGAAACAAAGCTGGTGGCCTCCACCACAGGGCAGCCTGCTTCAGCCAGACGCTCAATCAGCTCAATCTTCACAGCGGTCGGCACCACAGTCTGAAATTTCCATGTGGAGGGAGCACACCAAAGCAAGCACAATAGATTTAAGGCGTGGCGAAAGTATACATTAATCTTTTGAATGTTGTAACGAGGACAAACTAAACACAAAAAGCAGTTCTAAAGAAATTAGTTTTCAATTTAGATTCAAAAGTGCATCGCTCCAAGTGGCTTCCTAATATCGGAAGAGCGTTCCAGACGGCCGCAGAAGCGCATCTGAAAGCGCGCGATGCAGTGACCGTCTTTGTTCGATGGTTAGCCAAAAGTCGACTGTAACAATGTCCTGAACAGCCACTTAAAAAAAAAATGGGCTCATTTGTTTAGAAATAGGAATCACATGTTTATTTATGACGTCATATTTACACCTTGCAGCATCCCATTCAATGTAAACAATTTGCAGTCACACGTCTCAAATAAGTGCATACCTTCTCGTTCTGTAGTCCATCACGCGGACCTACTTCGACGATCTTAACCCGGTTGGGCAACCCACTGATGGCCACCGCCCCCTGAAATAACACAGAAAGTTCACCGAAAGCCACGAGATGTACAGGTCATTATTCACGTATAGGAGCAACTCGAGTGCTTGTAATATGGTTAGTCCAGCCTAATTCACAACATTCCATGTACACAACTGTGAAGAGTTTTTTTTTTTTAAATGGCAATAGTGGACTGTGCAGGGCTTACAAAGTCTATCTTTGGAGTTGCTAATTCGCAATGTTGTCATATGGCTATGACCCCATTCACTCATTCATTTATAAAACTTTACATAAAAACTTTACATAAATGAAAACCCATATGGCTTACTACCTTGGCTTCTTAGCTTTGCAAGGGAGTAGTAAATTCGAAAATACAAGTTACCATTACTATATTGGTGATAAAGACAGTTCTGAAATTATTTGGCGCCAAGTGCTGTGGAATGTCTATCGTAAGAGACATCGCGGCTTGGAAAGATTATTTCAGGACTGCATTTCATAACCAAATGCTGGATAATTTTCATGACGGGAATGTGTATTGTTTCCACATTAAAATGACTCTGACATTTGTATGCCTAGGACCAAATCACCCAGAATGTGCCCAATCTCATCCGGTTTTAGAAGCTAAGCATCGTGGTTGACCACCATGTACTCAACACTCAACACATTCATCAATAGCACTACCTTAGAGGGAAAAGTATACCATAGCTTACGTTTCGGGCAATGGCGCCTCTGCATAGCACATAAGAGCGGATAAGAGTTAGAGACTGCACTTCATACAATGCGACCTGGTAGGATTGTTTTATCCATAAGAGGTTTTTTGGGTTAGATCACGTAAATATGTCGTTAAAACCCACCACCACCCGACACAGCCAACTCGTAAGGGTTGTCACTTAAACAGAACATGCCAATTCGTCACTCATACAGCACAAATGTGGCTGTCGGCTGATGAAGCTAGTTGTAATTACTGGCGAAACGTCATACTCCGATTGTAAATGTTGTGGCCTGGCTCTCCAACACACCGGTGTGCTGTACTTGTGACGAATTGGCATGTTCTGTTTACGTGACAACCCTTACTAATTGGCTGTGTCGGGTGGTGGCGGGTTTAACGACACATTTATATATTTACGCGATCTAACCCAAAAAAACTATATTATGGATGATATTGGTTGCGAAAGCCTACGTGTTAAATTATTGTTTTATGTTTCCTGATAAAAGTTTATACAGTGAGGGAAAAAAGTATTTGATCCCATGCTGATTTTGTACGTTTGCCCACTGACAAAGAAATGATCAGTCTATAATTTTAATGGTAGGTTTATTTGAACAGTGAGAAACAGAATAACAACAACTAAATCCAGAAAAACGCATGTCAAAAATGTTATAAATTGATTTGCATTTTAATGAGGGAAATAAGTATTTGACCCCCTCTCAATCAGAAAGATATTTGGCTCCCAGGTGTCTTTTAGACAGGTAAAAAGCTGAGATTAGGAACACACTCTTAAAGGGAGTGCTCCTCAGCTTGTTACCTGTAGAAAAGACACCTGTCCACAGAAGCAATAAATCAATCAGATTCCAAACTCTCCACCATGGCCAAGACCAAAGAGCTCTCCAAGGATGTCAGGGACAAGATTGTAGACCTACACAAGGCTGGAATGGGCTACAAGACCATTGCCAAGCAGCTTGGTGAGAAGGTGACAACAGTTGGTGCGATTATTCGCAAATGGAAGAAACACAAAAGAACTGTTAATCTCCCTCGGCCTGGGGCTCCATGCAAGATCTCACCTCGTGGAGTTGCAATGGTCATGAGAACGGTGAGGAATCAGCCCAGAACTACACGGGAGGATCTTGTCAATGATCTCAAGGCAGCTGGGACCATAGTCAGCAAGAAAACAATTGGTAACACACCACGCCGTGAAGGACTGAAATCCTGCAGCGCCCGCAAGGTCCCCCTGCTCAAGAAAGCACATATACATGCCCGTCTGAAGTTTGTCAATGAACATCTGAATGATTCAGAGGACAACTGGGTGAAAGAGTTGTGGTCAGATGAGACCAAAATGGAGCTCTTTGGCATCAACTCAACTCGCCGTGTTTGGAGGAGGAATGCTGCCTATGACCCCAAGAACACCATCCAAACCGTCAAACATGGAGGTGGAAACATCATGCTTTGGGGGTGTTTTTCTGCTAAGGGGACAGGACAACTTCACCGCATCAAAGGGACGATGGACGGGCCATGTACCGTCAAATCTTGGGTGAGAACCTCCTTCCCTCAGCCAGGGCATTGAAAATGGGTCGTGGATGGGTATTCCAGCATGACACTGACCCAAAACACACGGCCAAGCCAACAAAGGAGTGGCTCAAGAAGAAGCACATTAAGGTCCTGGAGTGGCCTGGTCAGTCTCCAGACCTTAATCCCATAGAAAATCTGTGGAGGGAGCTGAAGGTTCGAGTTGCCAAACGTCAGTCTCGAAACCTTAATGACTTGGAGAAGATCTGTAAAGAGGAGTGGGACAAAATCCCTGCTGAGATGTGTGCAAACCTGGTGGCCAACTACAAGAAACGTCTGACCTCTGTGATTGCCAACAAGGGTTTTGCCACCAAGTACTAAGTCATGTTTTGCAGAGGGGTCAAATACTTATTTCCCTCATTAAAATGCAAATCAATTTATAACATTTTTGACATGCGTTTTTTTGGAATTTGTTGTTGTTATTCTGTCTCTCACTGTTCAAATAAACCTACCATTAAAATTATAGACTGATCATTTCTTTGTCAGTGGGCAAACGTACAAAATCAGCAGGGGATCAAATACTTTTTTTCCCTCACTGTACATGTCCCACTTAGTGATGCATTCCTGGGCTCAATCGTCGTTTCAAATAGGATTCGTGTTACGATAACGTACTTAGTGATGCAAAATTTAACACCAAAGGCATAAACGAAGCACTAATATTAAAAAAGTGCCTTTCTCCACTCTGCTCGCAAGGTTCAGGAATTGTGAACAATTGATCCTTATGGCGGTAGCCCGGGGTACCAAACAATACAAAAAATGCCCGAGGCAATTAAATGTTATTTCTGTGACACTATTTTTTCCATGGGTGTTACTCAGCTATGTAGAAACGTAAAACATCAGCATTAAAAAAAAAATCTGTAATAGACAAAAATGCAACTTTGAGTAGCGCATCGTGAACAGCTCGTCGAGATGAGTCGACCATCAACAGACTAAAAATGTATACTCTTTGGTTCTTTCGGTAAAGTCACGTAGGTAGAAAAAAACCAAAACTAAACTAAAAATGACTGCATCACGGACATTATTTGAGAGCCGGGGCGCTATGTGGTACCGCTATAAGGTCACAATTGTCAGTCCCTTAGATAACCTTCAAATGGGAATTGAAGCCAGGAAAGCGCCACTCTTTACGTGCTATGAAGGGCAATTGTTTATAATGTCGACTGTTACATAATCTTCCCCAGAAGGTCAATGTTACCGACGAATGTGGCGAGGGTTTTTGGATGCATGTGCTTGTGCATATCGCCAAATAGCAATGCATACTCGGTTGTTATAGGCTACACGATGGGCAACAAGAGGTCAGTGCAGCAACATCCATCATTGTACTGTACTTCTATACCCCCCCAACCCCCCGCCACGTCTATGCCTCGTCTCCTTCGTCAATCTACGCTGACCATCACGGTGAAGTATGGTCAAAATACAGTAAAACCATCGTTACCATCGGAATAGATTCAGGTCAACATATATGGAGGAATCTATTGCAACGTTACGAAGCCACGATTGTGTGAAAACGTGAATAACACTGCCCTTGAAAGGAAAGACAAGTCGATCTCTCGTCTACCAAGGGTCATGGACCGAAACGTCGCCCATTATACCATCCCTTGTCAACCCCATACGGCGTACCCGTGCTCTTGTACAGGGAAATTGAGTTGTCAGGTCCATACGGGGTTAACAGCCGTTACAGTGCGGGTTTTGTAGGTTGAAAGTTGAGATTTATAAGGGGCACGGGGCGACCGATGAGGTCTGAATTGGCCTGCAACAATTCAGCAGGGCACTGATTGAGGGGTTGTACAGGTATGTTAAGACGCGTAATCTTTGTTATATTTAGGGCATCGATCCGCAGCGTTTCCGTCACCACCTGACCCGAAACGCATCGCAAACGAGAACCCCTCGTTACGCATTGTACCAACTTCTTTCGCACCGCACGCAGCCGAACGGCGTGCTAATCCGAAGGAGGCATCCGCCGTTAACGCGCTTACGGTGGCGGACAGAGAGCGGCCGCGGCCCGCGAGCCTGGAGAAACACAGCGCGACCCTGAGCAGAGACGATGTGGCCATGGTCCCCTCCACCACCTCCTCCTCCTCCACCTCGACAACGAAGGAGACTCCCGGACAACAGTGACGCATGTCACCACCTCCACCACCTCCTCCCTCACTCTGAAGCCCAACCACAACCGCCATGCTACGTAAGGAGAGGCCGCAACAACTGCGCCCCTTGACCGCGACGATTCCGCGCATTACGCATCGCCTCAGAAATTGGGCGTTGTTACTCGTGCACCACCGCGAACGGAGGTAAGAAAGCGAATCGCCCCACCGGGGGAACGTTGCGGCCTTAGTTTAAAGCCGTTCGCGGTGCGGGCTAAATCCGTGGCGTCATCGGCGTGCGACGGCTTCGTCGCCCGCCGCTGCCGCGTTCAGCACGCGGGGGCACCCCACGTAACATGGCCGCCGGGTATACCGCGAGGGACGTCACGGCGACGTCACGGCCTCTCGTGGTCACAGTCGTCTTGAGCGTGAGAGGCGCAAACTTACACCACCATGTCCACAACCATGTCCATCACCACCATGTCCATCACCACCATGTCCACAACCACCATGTCCACCACCATGTCCACAACCACCATGTCCATCACCACCATGTCCACCACCATGTCCACAACAATGTCCACCACCATGTCCACAACCACCCCACCACCATGTCCACAACCATGTCCACCACCATGTCCATCACCACCATGTCCACAACCACACCACCACCATGTAAAAAATAATTATTTGCTCATGAAGAAGGGCCATTGTTTTAAACTTCGCATGTTATACGTTTCCTTTAAAGGCATTGTTAATGACGAATGTGTTGAAGGGTTTTTATTAATACACGCTTTTATTTAACTCACTGTGTTGTATCCTCAAATCTTGTAACTCAATTTTAACCCATTTCCCAATGTTGTGTCGACTGCAAACGTGGTATACGTATGTCATACTGATGACAATACTATATTCTATCATTAATTTTTTTTTTAACAATCTTTTGTATATGTTATGTTTCGGCTTGGGTCTAATTGTCCACGCTCAACTCACATTGGCTGTAAGTCACCACAGTCCCCCTGACGTTATGCCATTACTAGTACATTTCATTAAAGCGTGTTTTTTTAAAGTTTTTTTTAAATATCACTGATTATTTTTGCTACATTAACTGGTTCTGTATGGTATTATGGAATTACTCTCCTCTGCCACAATGTGGAATATCCATTACTGCCTCGGGGCTGTAAGATATGATGAGCATTACCCCATGATTATTTGAGTGAAATTCATAAAATTGGCTACTTTAGCCAATGTTGGATTCGCTATAATGTTCATATTAAATGAGTGAACTCCACGTGGGAGGTGTATACAGCATGTGTTTACCCGTACACAAAAGCATCAGTGTACATTTGCAAATAAAGAATTACTTTAAACCCTGAGCTACACCGGTGTTATGATATATATTAGTTAATGAGCCCCAAACCAGAAATGCTGTTGGTACCACACGATGTGACATAACATGAATGGTTCGAATTCCTTTTGGTGGCCAAGTACCATTGGATCGTGTGATAACCATTTGAAATTGAGTGGGTTATCAAACGATCCACTCCCATTTAGCCATACAAATACATCGGTACGACTAAAGGTTAGCTGCCTTTTGATGTTACAAATGTTGCCCTTCTTAGGAATGAAAAATATGTATCGGGCTGTGACTCCCGACATTCCATACGTCAACATTCACCCGTTATGCAGGTTTTAAACCTGTCCACCTTTTGTGCGACCCGCATTGTTGCGTGAATGTAAACAATAATAAAAAACCTAGCAATGCTATGTATTTTTTTTGAATACAACAAAGAACTGTATTTTCCATTTGCTGCACATGTCAACAGCACACACAGTAGCCGACTCTTGAGCGTGATGTCACAGGGTCTTTAAGGTCAATTTATGTCCAAAACAATTGTTTTGCAGTGTGTCACCCCTGATAATGAATGAGCAATGGATGTAATGTTTACCCCAAATTGGATGCGCCGGAGTTGGGTAAATGCAATTCCACGTTCCCGTGGCAGGGTTAAGTCCATCCGATAGGCCGGCCAACAACATCGTAAAACAATAACAAATATGAACTCGTACAGTCACAGTTACATGCCATTACTTGTCATTAAAAACTCGTACAGTCACAGTTACATCCCATTAATTGTCATTAAAAACTCACAAGCTGGCTACCTCTTGTGCGGCACAACTCTTTTTTTTTACAAGTGATGGAAATTCCACCTGCCTTTGCCAGGGGATAGTCGTTCCGTTATATCATATAGGATCAGTTAAACCAGTTGAAATGTCACAGGAAATGCATTAGTCGTATCTCCTTACCTGTTGTGACGGGAAAGCGATTAGAGTCTTACAGACGCCGGGCACAGTCAAGCCCTGAGCAGCATAGCAATTCTTGACAACATCGTAGACATTTCCCATGAATTGAACACCGCGATCAATAACCAATAATCGACCACTTCTTCTGTAAGCAGGCTGTATCAGACGAAGTATTGTTGGAGCCCCACTGCACACGCAGAAATTAAGTGTCCATCCAGAATGACTACTACGCGTCTAATGTAAATTAAATTAACATTCAGAGCGCCAGAGCATGCAGCTGCGACGCGACACGATAGCTAGACACATCAGAACATCATCTGTCACTGCTGTGTATCTGTCTGTGTGTGTGTGCACGTCTTAGTCTTCGGCCACGAATATCTTATTGCTGCAGGGGATCATTAAACAGGCGTGTGCACTAACACCGCACTGTAGTAATATGCCGGGAAAAAAACACGTCGCGTGTGTGTGTGTGGGTACATCCCGAAAGCCGTCACTTGTGTGTGCTGACGTCAACTGACGCAGCCCCTCTCGAGATGATGAATCATCATCAAGAGGAGGAGGAGGGAGATGATGAATCATCATCAAGAGGAGGAGGAGGGAGATGATGAATCATCATCAAGAGGAGGGAGATGATGAATCATCATCATCGGTGGAGCGGTGGCGCATTGGTTAACGCGCTGCGCTCCGTCGTCAATGCGGTTTCTAAAACCCCGGCACGTTGCCGTGATTTACATCTTAGCAGACCCACGAGCAGCCTCCACAGCCATTGGCAATTCTAGATTTCAAAGCTTTCGTGACTGCAAGGATCCATACTCTTTGGTTCTATTCGGTCTTCACCAACCGGCAGTGAACAGTGTAGTTTGGGTCAAAGAACGCCACGTGAATGATGGCGTGGTGGGGTGGCGGGGTAGGAGGAGGAGGAGGAATTGGCTCTTAATTTGTCAAGTGGCTATGCAAAAGGTTGAAATGTGATGAGAGTGAGTGATGCGTGGGTATTGCCTCGTTTGTGATACGTATGCAGTGTACTGTGAATATACTCTTTGGTTCTTTCGGTAAAGTCACGTAGGTAGAAAAAATACAATTAAAAAATAAAAATTTTCGACGTTTCGATGGCAACACAAGCGGTCGTTTCTTTCTGGTTCGGCAGTTCCACTGTTGGATGATTATTAAAAAAAAATTCCCGCCTGAAGACGACCGCTTGTGTTGCGATCGAAGCGTCGGGATATATTATTTTTAATTACATTTTTTTTCTACCTACGTGACTTTACCGACAGAACCAAAGAGTATGGATCCCTGCAGTCGCGAAAGCTTCAAATCAAGATTGATGCTGCATTGATTTTCAGCCATTCTATATCCGCCAATTTCTGAAGGCCCTCCCCACACTATTGATCATTTGGTGGGGGGTTTGACCATACTTCACCCTGATACTGGGTTATAGTACTGCATTTAATATGATGGATATTGTTCTACACGGTTCATGCTTGCTTACAGTATTCAAAAAGTGCCGTATATACAATGTAGACTGATTCTATTATGAAGCTGTTGTATGGACTGTGGTAATACTGTACAGGTTAACAGCACAATTAGAGGATTAGTAGTGTAGTTTGTATTGCATTTATAAATGCTGGTGCACAAGTATTTTTACGTGCATTGATTACTGCACTGTGCCAATACCGGAATAAAAGAAATAACCATTACAGATACTGTGCGTAATAACTATCACTGCAATAGGTACAAATGTCAAATCAATGTTTACTTTGCAAGGAAATCAATAGTGACTGTTCTAAGGAGGTACTGACCACCGCCAGACTAATATGGAATTTCCGGGTATTGTATCGGGACATTTAACATGATATGGGGCGTCACGGTGGCGAGATGTTAACTACCTCGCCAGGTATTCAGGAGGTCTTGGGTAAGATGCCGACCATGATCCCTGCTCTATATTTAAAGTTTGCATGATTTCTCTACACGTGGTCGCGTGAATTTTGATCCGGGTCCTCCAGTTTTCCCCTCCACATTTAGAAACACGCGTTTCGAGTATTTGCCTGCTTAAAAAAAATAAAATCCACATGTTGAGCTAATCATTTATAGCCAGGTCGCTTCTGAAAAATGACTATATAACTCAGTGGGCCTTACGTGGTAAGGGGCCGTCCATAAATGACGTCACGCACCTAGGAGGGGGGGGGGGTCAGATATTTGTGACGATGTGTGACGAGAGGGGGGGTTAGGTTTGAGAAATGTGACGTCACATCAAAATGCGCAATTTTAAATCAATATAGACAACACGTTCTACTTAATTAAATAGACTGTTTAATAAATGTTTTCTCCTACAACATCAGAGTGCAGCGCCACATTAAATACGCACTACAATGACAATAGTTTAAAGCTATTTGAAGCATGTTTTTTTTTTTTGGGGGGGGGGCAGAGCTTTGTGACGTCATATTTGAGGGGGGTCTGACTTTTTGTGACGCCGTGTGACGAAGGGGGGGGGGGGAGGTCAAAAATCGTCCAAAATCGCGTGACGTCATTTATGGACGGCCCCTAAAACTAAAATTGATATCTGACCAACGATTGTTCATAAAATTCACCCATTCTGCCTCCTGTGTTACAAAAAACTCCCTCTGTCCAAGAGACCCATCACGTGTCTGTGATGTCCCAGCCGCATTGTGTTTGCTTTATTATTTTAAATGCGTCCCACCCATAGTCAACTCTCGATTATCCAGCAGTGAATTGAACATGACTGTTGTTGATGATGATAGTCAAGCAGTCGATTGAGTATGGCTGAGACAGTCAAGTCTCGATTATCCAGCAGTGGATTGACCATGGTTGATGGTAATGATAATACAGGGGTTTCGCGGTGGGGATAACAATTACTTCTAATGGATTGCATCATTGATCAACGTCAAGGGTTCTTGGGCATTTCAGAGAATAATCTAGATGGCATTGAGTTCTGGCCTGGGGTTTGACAAGGTGTGGACATTCTTGCAAATAGCGCAATGCAATCCCCTTGCGTAGAACAGTTGCACTCTGTCGTGTTGTTTATTTGCCATCCAGCCTGCCTAATTCATATCTGTTGGGACCCACAAGTTTGGTTACCAAGACTGCAGTGTAAACCAAACTCTGAAAGTCGTTTGCCGGTGCAGCACGCATTCCATCTGCAGCACTGACAAATCAATAGTACACCCATCAATGTGTCAAGCCAAACATATGTATCCTCTTCTGGGCGACGTGTTACCGGTAAGCATAACAGTTTTAAATAAAACAAGCGTAAGGATTAACACCATGGCCATTATAGGTACAGACAGAATAAATTATTATTTTATTTTTACCTACGTGACTTTACCGAATAGAACCAAAGAGTACAAATCTAGAAGTGTGCCGTGAATTTAAAAATATTTCGTGGAGTTTAGCAACAATGGTCTGGCGATTATGGGAGCCGTGAACCGCGGGTAATCTGTGAATCATATAAATTCGCCGACTATAGGAATTTGTAGATTAAAGTAATATACAAAAAATCATGAAATTGCATATGTAAGAATCAACGTGTTTTATTTTTGTTCCATCGTATTATTCACTTGACCCCTGTAGCCACTCGGGGCCACTACATTACCCACAACCACAATGTAAAAAAGACACTGGTGATCTAAGCTTTGGTGTAAAAACACGTCAACTTTTGCACCATCTGGTTGCTGCGCGTCTTTATTAAAAAAAAATATATATACTGCGTTTGAAAAACATGGCATTTGAATTCGGAGGCGAGCGTGTGCCGCTGCGTTCACTGACGCGCCGCTCGCTTTCAGTCACGTGCGGCCAGGGGAGGCAGGGGAGGCAGAGCCTCACCTGTCATAACTCCAATGAAGATAGCTATTACGAAAAGTAAAACAGATATATGAAGATTTGTCCACTGATCTGTCTTACAAATGCCATTTATGTACGATTTCAATCATTTTTTATAGTAAAAATCGCCCAATTTGCGGAGGGAGAGGCGAGAGGTGAGGCAGCGACGGGCTCAGCCTCCCCTCTGATTGCACAACCCCTCAGGAACTGGATGGAGCGCGGGCAATTAGCGCGTGCCTGTTACTATCTCTCTGTGTGTGTCACCAATGCAGTGGTTCTTAACCTGGGTTCGATCGAACCCCAGGGGTTCGGTGAGTCGATCTCAGGGGTTCGGCAGAGCCCCCGCCACGGAGGTCCGGACACACTTGAATTATTGTGTAAATTTGTGATGACACACACGGCCCGCTTGGCCATCACTGGCTGCAGATGATCATGCTACATTGCTTGGCCAATCAGCGCTGCGGGGAATTTAGTGCGTACTCAGTAGTCAACGTGTGACTGTTGTTGTCGTACGTCGTGTGATTTCTTTAATATTTTATCCATACTAACTATGTCGGGCAAAAGAAGAAAGTGGTCGGACGAATATGTACAACATGGATTCTCATGTATCACGGAACGTGATGGGAGTGAGCGTCCTATCTGCATGATTTGCAACGCCAAGTTGAGCAACTCTAGTCTTGCACCGGCAAAACTAAAGGAACACTTCTTGAAGCTGCATGGAGACGGGGAATACAAGAACACAACACTTGCTGAATTCAGGGTGAAGAGAGCCAGATTCGATGAAAGGGCCACTCTGCCTGCTCTTGGATTTGTACCTGTTAACAAACCGATCCTGACAGCATCGTACGAAGTTGCTTACCTGATCGCAAAGCAGGGCAAGCCACACACCATTGGTGAAACACTTGTGAAACCAGCTGCATTAAAGATGGCGAATCTGATACTCGGAACAGCGGCCGAAGGTAAATTATCCCAAATTCCCCTTTCAAATTACACCGTCAGTGACAGAATAGAAGACATGAGTAAAGACATCTTGGCTCAAGTAGCCGCGGATCTGATTTCAAGCCCGGCAAAATTCAGCCTTCAACTCGACGAAGCCACAGACGTTTCTGATCTAAGCCAGCTTGCTGTTTTTGTACGCTATGTGAAAGACGACATGATAAAAGAAGAGTTTTTATTTTGTAAGCCTCTTACAACAACAACGAAGGCAGCCGATGTGAAGAAGCTTGTGGATGACTTCTTCAGAGACAACAATCTTTCATGGGATATGGTTTCTGCAGCTTGTACGGACGGAGCTCCAGTCATGCTGGGAAGAAAGTCTGGTTTTGGTGCGCTAGTAAAGGCCGATGCACCACACATCATTGTGACGCATTGTATTCTGCACAGGCATGCGTTGGCAACAAAAACCTTACCTCCAAAAATAGCAGAAGTATTAAAAACTGTGGTGGAATGTGTGAACTATGTGCGAAAAAGTGCTCTGAGGCACCGCATCTTCAGTGAGCTGTGTAAAGAAATGGGCTCTGAATTTGAGGTACTTCTGCTCCATTCTAATATTCGGTGGTTATCCCGGGGACAGGTGCTGAATCGTGTTTTTGCCATGCGTGTGGAATTAGCCCTGTTTTTGCAAGAGCACCAACACTGCCATGCAGATTGCTTCAAAAATCCTGAG